CTTCAATTTTTCCCAGCATCAGGGTCTTTTCAAGTGAGTCAGTTCTTCACATCAGGTGGCCAAAGTATTGGGCTTTCAGCTTCAGCATCAATTCTTCCAAAGAATATTCAGGACTGATTTCCTTTAGGATGGACTGGTTGGGTCTCCTTGCTGTCCAAGGGACTCTCAAGAGTCTTCTCCAACACCACAGTTCAAAAGCATCCATTCTTTGGGGCTCAATTTTCTTTATAGTTCAACTCTCACATCCATACATGACCACTGGAAAAACTATAGCCTTGACTAGACAGACCTTTGTTGCCAAAGTAATGTCTCTGCTTTTTAATATGCTGTCTAGGTTGTTCATAACTTTTCTTCCAAGGAGAAAGCGTCTTTTAATTTCATGGCTGCAGTCACTATCTGCAGTGATTTTGGAGCCCAAGAAAATGAAGTCTTTCACTATTTCCATTGTTCCCCCATCTATTTGCCATGAAGTGATAGGACCAGATGCCATGATCTTAGTTTTCTGAATGTTGAGTTTTAAGCCAACTTTTTCCACTCTCCTCTTTCACTTTCATCAAGAGGCTCTTTAGTTCTTTGCTTTCTGCTATAAGGGTGGTGTCATCGCATATCTGAGGTTATTGATATTTCTTCTGGCAATCTTGATTCCAGCTTGTGCTTCATACAGTTCAGGATTTCTCAAGATGTACTCTGCATATAAGTTAAATAAACAGGTGACAATATACAGCCTTGACGTACTCCTATCCCAACTTGGAACCAGTCTGTTGTTCCATGTCCAATTCTAACTGTTGCTTCCTGACCTGCATACACATTTCTCAGGAGGCAGGTCAGGTGGTCTGGTATTCCCATCTCTTGAAAGATTTTCCACAGTTTATTGTGATCCACACACTCAAAGGATTTGGCATAGTCAATAAAGCAGAAGTAGATGTTTTCTGGAACTCTCTCACTTTTTTGTTGATTCAATGAACATTGGCAATTTGATCTCTGGTTTCTCTGCCTTTTCTAAATCCAGCTTGAACATGTGGAAGTTTTCAGTTCATGTACTGTTGAAGCCTAGCTTGGAGAATTTTGAGGATTATTCTGCTAGCGTGTGAGATGAGTGCAATTGTGCAGTAGTTTGAGGATTCTTTGGCATTGCCTTTCTTTGGGATTAGAATGAAAACTGCCCTTTTCCAGTCCTGTGGCCACTGCTCAGTTTTCCAAATTTGCTGACATTTTGGGTGCAGCACTTTCACAGCATCAACTTTTAGGATTTGAAATAGCTCAACTAGAATTCCATCACCTCCACTAGCTTTGTTCATAGTGATGCTTCCTACAGCCCACATGACTGCACATTCCAGGATGTCTGGCTCTAGGTGAATGATCACACCATCGTGGCTATCTGGGTCATGAAGATCTTTTTTGTACAATTCTTCTGTGTATTCTTGCCACCTCTTCTTAATATCTTCTGCTTCTGTTAGGTCCATATCATTTCTGCCCTTTATTGAGCCTATCTTTGCATGAAATTTTCCCTTGGTATCTTTAATTTTCTTGAAGATATCTCTAGTCTTTCCCATTCTATTTTTTTCCTCTATTTCTTTTTTTTTTTTCCTCTATTTCTTTGCACTTATCACTGAGGAAGGCTTTCTTATCTCTTCTTACTATTCTTTGGAACTCTGCATTCAAATGGGTATATTTTCCCTTTTCTCCTTTGCCTTTCACTTCTCTTCTTTTCAGAGCTATTTGTAAGGTCTCTTCAGACAATCATTTTGCCTTTTTGCATTTCTTTATCTTGGGGATGGTCTTGCTCCCTGCCTCCTGTACAATGTCGGGAACCTCTGTCCATAGTTCTTCAGGGATTCTATCCATTAGATCTAATCCCTTGAATCTATTTGTCACTTCTACTGTATAATCGTAAGAGATTTTATTTAGGTCATAACCTGAATGGTCTGGTGGTTTTCCCTACTTTCTTCAATTTAAGTCTGATTTTGGCAATAAGGAGTTCATGATCCGAGCCACAGTCAGCTCCTGGTCTTGTTTTTGCTGACTGTGTAGAGCTTCTCCATCTTTGGCTGCAAAGAATATAATCAATCTGATTTCAGTATTGACCATCTGGTGATGTTCATGTGTAGAGTCATCTCTTGTATTGTTGGAAGAGGGTGTTTGCTATGACCAGTGCATTCTCTTGGCAAAACTCTATTAGCCTTTGCCCTGCTTCATTCTGTACTCCAAGGCCAAATTTGCCTGTTACTCCAGGTATTTCTTGACTTCCTACTTTTCCATTCCAGTCCCCTATAATGAAAAGGACATATTTTGGGGTGTTAGTTCTAGAAGGTCTTGTAGGTCTTCATAGACCCGTTCAACTTCATCTTCTTCAGCATTACTGGTTGGGGCATAGACTTGGATTACTGTGATATTGAATGGTTTGCCTTGGAAATAAACAGAGATCATTCAGTTGTTTTTGAGATTGCACCCAAGTACTGTATTTTGGACTCTTTTGTTGACTATGATGGCTACTCCATTTCTTCTAAGGGATTCCTGCCCATAGTAGTAGATATAATGGTCATCTGAGTTAAATTCACCCATTTCAGTCCATTTTAGTTCTCTGATTCCTAAAATGTTGATGTTCTCTCTTGCCATCTCCTGTTTGACCACTTCCAATTTGCCTTGATTCATGGACCTAACATTCCAGGTTCCTATGCAATACAGCATCAGACTTTACATTTATCACCAGTCACATCCACAACTGGGTGCTGGTTTTGCTTGGATCTGTCTCTTCATTCTTTCTGGAGTTATTTCTCCTCTGATCTCCGCTAGCATATTGGGCACCTACTGACCTGGGGAGTTCATCTTTCAGTGTCCTATCTTTTTGCCTTTTCATACTGTTCATGGGGTTCTCAAAGCAAGAATACAGAAGCATGTTTAGTCAAAGCTAAATGTGACTTGAAAATTGTTTCCTTATATCTAAAATGGAGCCAATAATTTCTTCCTTGCATCACATGGTTATGAGATTTAAATGAAAAAGTGTATTTGAAAATATTTTGCAAATTGTTACTCCAGTGGTCTCAAACTTTAGTGTGCCTCAAAATCATTAGGAAGACGTTAAAATACAGATTGCAGTGTTTCTGATTATTACTAATAATAGTAGTTTCTGAGTCAGTAGATGTTGGGTGCACGAAAAGTCCCTTCAGGTGTGTTCAACTCCTTGAGACCCCATGGACTGTAGCCTGCCAAGCTCCTCCTGTCCATGGGATTCTCCAAGCAAAAATACTGGAGTGGGTTGCCATTTTCTCCTCCAGAGGATCTTCCCCATCCAGGGATCAAACCCATATCTCTTAGATCTCCTGCATTGCAGTCAGGTTCTTTAGCACCACCTGAGAAGCTCTAGATGGTGGGTGAAGGCCTAGAATTTGAATTTTGCATAAGATCTCAGAAGATACTGATGTTTCAAGTCTGGAGCCCCTCTGTGAGAACTACTGTGTAATCTATTGTGTAATACAAATGTAAGGAATTAGGCTTTTGATGTTACAGCAGAATTCATTGTTTTCCTGATTTGTGTTTTATACCCTAATTTTTTCAAAGTTGTGTCCTCCATCAGCAATGTTGAAATATCTCTACCCTGTTTTATGCCTAGTAATGTTGTAATTCAGTCATTCAGTCCTGTCCAACTCTGCAACCCCATGGACTGTAACCCACCAGGCTCCTCTGTCCATGGGATTTCCCAGGCAAAGATACCGGAGTGTGTTGCCATTTCCTTTTCCAAGGGATCTTCCCCACCCAGGGATGGAACTTTTAACTCCTGCATTGGCAGGCAGATTCTCTACCACTGAGCCACCTGGGAAGCCATTGTATCTAGCAATACCTGTTTACATTTATAACATATCAGTTTACTATTTTGTCGATTGTTTACATGAGTGAGCAACAACTTGCCGATTAAGCTTGATTAAGAAGGATATGAAAAACATGATATTGTATTTCTCGTGGGGAGGAGATAAGAAGCAACTGTTTGGAGTAAGAGGTAGAATTGTTTTTTGCTTTGAAGTCGATTAGATATAGACTGCTACTTGTTACCTACTTTCAAAAAGCCCCCTGGAGAACTTGTAATTTGATCCAGAGGGATCAGCAGGAGGAGACAGGTAAAAGGAAAAGTTGACCTCACCCTTCAGTCCTTTCCGAAATTCCGAGAAATGTGTGTACCTCAACATTCCCTTCTTTGGTCCCACAAAACAGGGAATCAGGAAAATGCATTAGCACCCTCATACAGATTAGGAACTCGGGGCGGAGAGACTCAACCGCATCAAGACCGAAGGAAACTGGGGGAGGGGAGAGAAAACCTCCCTAGCCGGAGACGGCACTGCGGCCGTGGGAAGAGAAGGGAAGTGGGGAAACGCACTTCAGGCGGCAGCCAGACACTCGGCCTCCAGGCATGTGGGAAGGTGAGGGAGGAGGGAAAAAGGCTCTGCACCAAGACGGGATCGCCGGGGCTCCCGCCACTGCTTCCGAGTGAAGACATAGCGCGCTAGAGCTGTCTGCTTTCCCCCTCTTCCCTCCTGGAGGCCATTTCTCCACATCTAACCGGGATAAAGAGGGGGCACCGCGCCGAGTCAGAACAAGCCAGGATCGCCATCCCCCAACTGCCGACCCTGCCTCGGCCCCCAGCCCAGGCGGGGCGAACTGGCCTTGGGGGACGCTGAAGTTACTCGGAGAAAGAGGGAGGGCTCGCCAAGCTGCTCTCCAATCGCCTTGGCAGTTCCAGTTATTTGCATCTATTATGCTAATGAAAGACCTCCGGCTCAGCTCCCAGCCGAGCGGCTCGCCCCTCCGGGGCTCTCCCCGGCCCCGCCCACGGGCTGGGCGAAGGTGAATATATTATGCTAATAAGGCGGGCTTCTGCCGGCCTCGGGGAGGGGGGCGCACTGCCGCGGGAGCCGCGGGCTGCAGGCCGCGGGCCGGGAGTGGGCCGGGGGAGGGACGCCGCTCGTCGGAGCGCGCGCGCACTCATACACGAGCATCCCGAAGGCTATTTAAGGCTCGCACACGCCGGGCTGCGGAGATACTTCGGGCGGCCGCGACTGGGGCCTCACGACTCGCGTTTTCTCCTTGGGTATTTCTTTCTCCTCTCTGCTCTTCCCCACTTGGCCACCCTTTTTGCACTGCGCTCTCGCGGTCTGTTTCAGCCTTTTTGCCTGGAACTGAATCTAGGTGGGAAACGGAGATAAAACACCGAATAGGTAGAAACGAGGCAAACTAACAGAGGCGCAACAGGTCCGGTGCTCTGTGGCAAGGGTCAGCGGCGGCCCCTCGCAGCGCCTCTGCCGCTGTCCCCGGGACCCCGCGCGGCCGCTCTCTTCAGAGGGGGTCCCGGTCCTCGGAGGGGCCAGGAGGGACACCGGGGGGTGGGTTTCACTCTGGATTTTACCTTATCGCCACCGGTCCGCGGACTGAGGGTGCTTTTCCCTCGCAGCTGGGAGGGGAGAAGAAAGCGGAGGATGGTCCAGGTCTGCGGTTCTCGGCGCTGATCCATCCTTGCGCTCCGGCTCCGACTCCGCCAACTAGTTGTGCAGCCATCGGGACGGAACTTTGCAGGAATCATCCTTTTTCTTTTAAGATTTTTGGAAGTGCTAGAGGGTGGGAGGCGAAGCCAAGACAGCCGACCCCGCCACGATGCTGGTGAAGAAGCAAGCGGTGAAAGGCGGGGGCCGGGAGCCGGGCTCAGAGGACCGGAGCCCAGCCGGGCAGCCTTGTGCCCGCCCCGTGTCCCCGTGCGCGGCCCTGGCCACCCTCCTGTCTGTGGTGGCCGTGATGTCTTGTCTGTACCTGGGCGTGAAAACCAACGACCTCCAGGCGAGGATCGCTGCCCTCGAGTCTGCCAAAGGAGACCCTTCCATCCGTCTGCTGCCTGATTGTGTGGATCAGCTCAAAGCTATGGTGCAAGAGAAAGTGGAGCGACTTCTGGCTCAGGTGTGAAAGGCTGGGGTGTTTTGTACGTGGATAACATCTTACAGTCGCGATTCTCTGTACATGACCAACCTCTACCTTACTATGTGCAGATGTGGCATGGCCTGTGTACACATATATGTTAGGCCACCATCTCTGCTTACTGTAGCATATATTTGTATATGCACATCCTCTCATACCACCCTCTCTGTATCATTTCCCCTTACTCTTCTTAATGTTTGCATGCTAAACACATATGGAAGTCTAAAAGGGGGAAAGGTGGCTAGAATGGCTCCCAGGCTGGTATTTTAGCTCTTTTTAGTTTCTGAAGCTGTGTGTGGACCTTTCCTAATGTTGTGGAGAATATTCCTTGCAGGGACAACATCTGTTAGATTCTTCATACAGTATAAGAAGGTTAGGGTCATTTATGTTATTAACATAGCGATACGGATGGAAACCACTCTTAAAAATGAAATAGCTACATGTGATTTTATTACGTCACACATTGAATGTTTTTGTGTTAAATGTTTAAAAAGGAAAAAATAGTCGCCTTGTTTATTTATTTTTTGTAAAGGATGCAGTGCCACCGGTGTTGGTGAATGCAGAGCCATTGGAGTCGAGAGTTGAAAGGAATCTGTGTTCTGTTTATCAAAACCAGGAGTGCTTTAGACTACAGTTAGGGGATTTTTCTGGGACTTGCTCTTCCAACAGAGAGGTTGTTTGGCAGTAGTGGCAGCACAGCATGATAAGTAGTTGACATTTATGTATAAAATATTGGTTGTTTAAAAACTCTTAGCTTACCTAAAACTGCAGCATGTTGATACTGATTCTGTACAATGACTGCATATGCCTGAGCTGAGAGGGAGGGTGATGGTAGTTGAAGAATGAAGAATGATGTTATACAAGTCCCACAGTCTAGATACCATCTCAGTGGTCGTTTTCTTTTCTTTAGGGCTTGGGTACTGTTACCTTTTGACTAGAGTCCAAGTACATATGTAAACGTTAGTTATGCAGGGTGGTAAATCAGGTATATAGCCAGACAGTCCCTAAAGAATCCATTTCTCTACAATGCTACTGATGATTGTTAATACCTCTTCTTTTCCTCCAGAAGTCCTATGAACATATGGCTAAAATAAGAATCGCGAGAGAAGCGCCTTCAGAATGCAATTGCCCGGCAGGTAAAATGGAACTTATTTCACAAGGTTTCCTCCATAGCAGAGCATTTTAAAACAAAGGTCCTATGTCTGTCAAGTCTACCTGTAATAATAGTAAAGAAAGAATGCAGACCCAACTTACTTTAATAAAATCAACATGTCTGGGTAAAAGAATGGCAGATAAAGCCACAAATATTATTTTAAGCAGCATACCAAGGTCTGCTAAGGGAAAGCAAAGAAGATAGAGATCTTCATCAAAGAAAATCCCTGCAAGATGATGTCCAAAGACAAAGTTCTTAGTTTCCCAGATTGAAAATTATTCTTTGGTTTTACCTGCTTTTGTTATTTGTAGTGAGAAGGATTGCAGAACACATTAAACTTGAATTCCTTAGTGACTGATAGTGCATTAATACAGATTTCTGTTTGTTCCCTTTGACGGACAATTGTGTTAGCAAACCACCTTCACTTCTTTGCCTGCTTTTATTTTCTATAAGAAAGGTTCTCTCTCCTATCCTATAGCAATGAGGACTGAAAAGAAATTAGTTTTTTATCTTGAGCTTCTCCTTACAAACTACTCTGTTCTCAATGACTTTTCAGAAGAGGCTGTTACATTTTTACCATTTTTCTGTGTGGCTCTAGGGAACTATATTAATGACCTCCTTCTATATTAGTAGAGGATGGAGGAGAAACACATCAATGAATCAAAATCTCTGGGCAATCATTAAATCTTCCTTCGCAGACCTCTGAGGCTTGGTGGTCAGACTTCTGTAGACCTACAATTTAGAAGCCTTTGGAATATGTCCATTGGAAAGTATCTAGTGGCTTCAGCTGAAAGAAGTCATGAAAAACTCCCATCAGTCTTGAGATTTTTGTTTCAGATAAATGTTGTTAATGTATTTCTGAACATATTAGTTTCTTTTATCATCATGTATAGGAAAGTAAGTCGCTTACATTTTCTTTCATGTTCAGGAATGTGATACTTAGTTACTTACACTGTATGGAAAGACTAGTTCTATATTTTTTTCACATTCTGAGGTTTTTGCCTCATGATAATTTGTTTTGACACAGCTAAACCAGGTACCATGTTTAGAAATTTCAAATGTCAACTCCTGATTGTATGTCATAAAATTTTCACTGTTTATGTTTTGCTATATTGTTGACCATAATGGAGCTGTATTTTTGGAAAATGAAGCCCTTTCAATTGAGAAGGCATATAAATTAGGTAATAGGAAAACAAAGAATTAACGTTTACATTGTATGTTTCATTCTTAGTTGTTTAAAGCTGGGAAAGATCTCAGAAGTCAGAAATTCAAGGAAGGCACTTTTCTAGTGCAGGAATTAGCGCACAACAACCTCATCAGCCTGTAGGGATTATTTAAATTCCCAAGACAGTTGGTACAGGACTTCACTGATCATACCACTCAGATGCATCATTTTCTGTAGAGAATATTCTCTCTAGCTGTGTGAAAAATACTTAGTATTTAATTAATGAGATTCTTAGTGAACTTGGTAAAAAGTAGAAAAGTGGCAGCCAAAGCCCCGAGTTCTGTTTTTTAGGGGTTTTAACTGCTTCATAATGTTTGACGTGAGTTGGTTGTTGAGGTCTAATTTGCAATCTGGAAGAAAGTCATTACATTTAGAGTTTACCTGAGATTATCTTGGATGATCATTTGGAACCGTTTTTCTTCTAAAGCTAATTTAACAATAAATGGCCATTTCACCATAATAACAAGTAAGTAAGTGATTTCCTTGGCATTTCTGTTGGCTTTCAGGAGGGCTGCTTTACTTTCTTGCCACCACTAGAGCTCCACATTACACCAGTTTTCACCAGGTTCCTTTAGAGGTAAACTTTTAAAGGTGCATATTCCAATACACAGAATTAGACAGGTTTCTTGCTGACAAATCACTGTTATAGAAAACACTGTCTTCTGCTTGTGGAAGAATTAGACATCATCAAAATAAAGGCAATATGTTGAAAATAGTATCCTGGGGAAAACCAGCTATTTTGAGTGATGGTCAACAAGGTATTGTTTTAGGGAATGGGCTGGCCAAGAGGATTAGAAAGGAGATACAGCACTTCCCACCTGGTTTGGCTTTCGCCTTTGTTTGCAGTGACTAAGAGTTGTCACCCAGACATCTGTTTGCAGGGCAGAGTGAGACAAGTCTGTGACCTCAGCTCAGTTCCTGTGGAGAGATGCCCACCCCTTGAAGTTGACACTCTTGTTGACAGTCTCCATCACAGAGCCAAGGACTGATAGCAAAGGGCTGCTGTGTTATTTGTGTCCACTTTTTGGTAGAATTCAATACCAGTGAGGTTTATCTAGGTAGACTACAAACAATCATAGAATTGAAAGCTTTTTTTCCGCTTTAAATTGGAGTATAACTGCTTTACAATGTGTGTTAGTTTCTGCTGTACGTGAGCCAGCTATATGCCTACCTATAGATCCTCCTTCTTGAGCCTTTCTCCCACCAGCTCCCTCATCGCACCCCTCTGGGTCATCACAGCACCAAGCTGGGCTCCTGTGTGTTCAGCGGCTTCCTACCAGGTCTCTGTTTTGTACCTGGTGGTGTATATATGTCAATACTACTCTCACTGTTCATCCCACCGTCTCCTCCCAAATTCCCCCCCATTTCCGGCCCCATGTCCACAAGGCCCTTCTCTATGTCTGCATCTCTATTAAAAGCTTTTCTTTTTTTTTTTTAACAGAAGAAGGAAATTTTGTGGGAGGGTTTATTTGATAATCAACTATTGTCAAACAGTTTTTCATTGTAGGGAAGCATTCTTGCATTTAATCTTCACAACAACCCTAAGAGTTAAATATTAGTAATCTCATTTTCAGGTGGAGAAACTGGACTCAGAGAAGGTGACTAACTTAACATGGTAAAGGCAAGGTCAGGATTCATGCCCACATCTGACTGAGTCAAATATAAAGTCTAATGAGGAATTGAGGATGCGTATAGGTTTTGGAGCTGAATGGTTCTGGATTGGAACCCTAGGTCTGCTACTAAATAACTGTATTACCTTGGTCAGACTAATGAACCTCCCTGTGTTCCAGTTTCCATCTGTAAAAAAAAGTGACTAATATTACTTTCCTCATAAGTTGATAGTTTACCTAAATTCTGGCATATTAGTGGCTATTCATTAGATGATATCAGTTACTGTTTTTTTTAATATATTGTGTGTTATTTGACTCTGATCTGGTCCATGGGGACACGTGATATAGATGGGAAAACTGAGATCTGAAGAGGTATAACTTACTCAAAACCCCATGGTTAGTTAATGACAGGTTTTGGGTGAGAACATTGTGCTTAATTAAACAAACATATCTGTAGGCCATTTATGCAGATTATCAAATGAGTCAGTATCTCTTGGTGCTGCATCAGTGAAGATGTTACAGATACTACATTAGTCTACTAAATTATTTTTAACAAAATTCTAGGAAAAGCTTTTGACCTTGTAGGTAAATCATGATTGTAGTAGATAGAACCATGGCTTAAAAGAATATGGGAATAAAGAATGTCTTTGCAATTTTGATACCAGATGTTTACTAAAAGAAGTACTTTGACTAATTTTCATGCTTATTTTTTTTTAACAGCTTTATTGAAGTATACTTTATAGTATTTAAGAATATGATTTAAAAAGTTAAAAACAATTTATGGAGCTGGGACGCCATCACAACAACCCAATTTTAGATCACTTCATCATTCCCCAAAATTCACATTTACTTTCTTCAGGTGCCCAGGAGAAGGTCTATTTTTTGAATAGTTGCTTTAAAGAAACCTCAGGATAAAAAGTTAAAAACCATACAAATTAGAGTTCTGTTTAGCAGAATATTTGATTTAGTGGTAGCTGAACCATGGAAATTCAGCCGACTTCTGTGGCTTGGCCTCTGTAAAGCTTGACCCTCATAGAGAATAAATTGGCTCTTTCCTATGGATGTAGAATTCCATTTGGGGTTTTGTTCTTAGAGTCCTACATAAAGTATGTACAGATCAGGCATATTTATGGGAAGGCGTCTATGTTCCAACGTATAAAGAACACTGGGAACCAGGCAGATAAACAAATGGTGTTTAGATAACAAAGGTTTCTGTACCTCACTCATCACTTGTGTTGCCTGCCCAGAGGCTTAGATAAAAGAACCTCTGTGGCGAAATGGGCAGAGAACGTGAATGGGCAATAGAGAATCCAGAGTTGTAATGGTGATGGCTGATAGTGACCTTTCTTCCATGACAGCATTTCTGGAGGAGCAATCAGGATCTACCAGTAGGACTGCTTTAATGATAGACCCTGCTGTATTCAGATAAAGAGCCTGTCCTGATCAAGGGGTTGCTTATTTGTCACTGGGGTCATGGGCTGTAGATCTGTAAATTAGTTCAACAAAAAATGAAGCTATTATGTCTGGCAAGTGAGAGAACTTTGGGGGAGCCCTAAAGAGTTGTTCAGTTGCTCAGTCATGTCCGACTCTTTGTGACCCCATGGACTACAGCACACCAGGCTTCCCTGTTCTTCACCATCTCCCAGAGCTTGCTCAAACTCATGTCCGTTGAGTCAGTGATGCCATCCAATCATCTCATCCTCTGTCATCCCCTTCTCCTCCTGCATTATATCTTTCCCAGCATCAGTGTCTTTTCCAGAGTCAGCTCTTTGCACCAGGTAGCCAAAGTATTGGAGCTTCAGCTTCAGCATCAATCATTCCAATGAATATTCAGGGTTGATTTCCTTTAGGATTGAGTATATTTAGGTTATTCTTAAATCTTATTTTTGAATAAGGTATATTGATTTTCTCTTATAACAAAATTTTGATAAAATTATAGTGGGGAAAAAAGAAAGAACCCAGAGTTCTAACCCTGGTTTTGCCATTAATGTGTTATACAATCTCAGGGAAATCACTTTCAAGAATGACTTTTACAGACTCTATTTTCGTATCTCCCAGATAGCAGTGTTGGACTAGAATGATTTCGAAGGGCATTTGTCAGTTCTTCAGGTACGAAGAGCCTGTTGTGTGCTGAATATCTTGACTCAG